GCTAGCGCGGCTGCGGAGGCAGCGTGTGAGGAACCGGCTCCAGCTGCAGCACCTTCAGCAGCAGCAGCAGCAGCTGCAGCAGCAGCAGCAGCCGCAGCAGCAGCCGCAGCTGCAGCAGCAGCAGCAACGCCTGCAGGCACTCGCTGATGGCTTGGCTTTCCTTGACTCATTTCTTGCTGTGGCGCTGCGCTGCGCTGAGCAGGGCAGCAGCTGCCGCTGCTTGTCTGAGGGCTGCAGACGAAGAGGGCAGCAGGCGCAGCAGCAGCAGCAACAGCAACCTGAGCAGCAACAGCAACAACAACCTGAGCAGCAGCAGCAACCCGAGCAGCAGCACCAACCCGAGCAGCAGCAGCAACCTGAGCAGCAGCAGCAGCAACCAGAGCAGCAGCAGCAACCCGAGCAGCAGCAGCAACCCAAGCAGCAGCAGCAGCAACCAGAGCAGCAGCAGGAACTGGATCAGCAGCATCGACCAGAGCAGCAGCAACAACCCGAGCAGCAGCAACCGGAGCAGCAGCAGCAGCAACCTGAGCAGCAGCAGCAACCGGAGCAGCAGCAGCAGCAACCTGAGCAGCAGCAGCAACCAGGAGCTGAGCCGTCGCAACGGACACAGGAGTCGACAGAAACTTCGCCGAATCACCATCACGCGGAGCAGCAACTGCAGCAGCAGTACCCCCAGCAGCCGCATATACAGCAGCAGCAGCAGCAGCAGCGTGCGCAGCAGCAGCAGCAGCAGCTGCACCAGGTGGAATCTGAGCAGGAGGAAGACGAGCAGCACAGCTTCCCACCGGCAAAGCAGCAACAGGACACACTGCTTGTGCAGAAAGAGACGAGCCAGCAGCAGCAGCAGCAGCGGCAACAGGAGCAACGGCAGCAACAGCAGCAACAGGAGCAAGCTCGGCAGAAACAGGTGGAGACTGAGCAGCAGCAGCTGCAGCAGGAGCAGGAACAGATTGCACAGCTGCGTGCGTCACAGAAGCAGCCGCATTCCAGCGAACTTAGCCAGGAAGTGCAGCAGCAAGAAGACGAGCAGCAGCAGCAGCAGCAGCTTTCACCCAGCAGCTGTATGTACAGTCCAGGGAGCTGTCTGTACAGCCCAGACCCCTGCCCCCCTTCTCCTGTAAGCTGCGTGTACAGCCGGAGGAGCTCTTTTGGGGAAGAGCCAGTGCTGCAGCAGCAGGAGCAGGAGCAGCTGCAGCAGCAGCAGCAACTGCCGCTCTCAACAGATGATGGTTGCGTCTACGCCTCAGCACAGGGCCCGCTGTCTGGCAGCAGCAGTAGTGGCAGCAGCAGCAGCAGCAGCAACAGCAGGCACGAGGCCGATAACCCGAATCACTGCCACAATCCCGGCAGCATAGAAACAATTGACATCGTGCAGCTCTCCAGCGATAGCAGCAGCAGCAGCAGCAGCAGCAGCCAAAGCCAGTCAGATGGCTCTTCTGTGCTGCTGGTTGGGCCCCTTGCTGCTGACGTGGAAGGGCCGTGTCTCGAAGCAGCAGAAGAAACAAATGCAGCAGCAGGGGTTACTGCAGCACCAGCTGCTGCTGCTGCAGCCTCACAAGCAGCAGCTGCCAGCGCAGCGGCAGCAGCCACAAGCATAGGAGCTGCAGCAGCCTCCAAAGATGCTGCAGTCTCTGCACCCTCAGAAGCAGCAGAATCGCCTGCTGCTGCAGCAAGAGCCAAAGTTGGGGCAGCAGCGAGGGAGCCAAGCGCACAGTTTGCTGCTAGCGAAGCGCCCGCCGCAGCAGCAGCAGCAGGTGCATGCGCCTGCACAGCAGCAGCAGCAGCAGCAGCAGCAGCAGCAGGAGCTGCAGCAAAGGACCCCCATTTGCTGCTGCAGGTAGACTGGGCCAAAATGGAGAGCAGCAGCCTCCAGCGGTGGCTTTCTTTCTTCGGGTTGAAGGTTGGGGGCCTTTCGCAGCAGCAAACAGTTTCTATTCTGCAGCAGATTTGCTGCTACCTGGTGACAGGCTCGCCCAACCCCGCTCCAGCTGCTGCTGCTGCCCCTGCTGCTGCTGCTGCTGCTGCTGCAGTTCCACCTGCGGAGGTAGCGGGGCCCGCAGCAGGCCTTTTCGAAGCTAGTGGTAATGTGACAGCCGCGACGGCTGCCGTTGGGCAGCAAGAGCAGCAACAACAACAGCAGCAGCAGCAGCAATCAGACGGCCCAGTAAACACCGAGGCTTCTGCTGCTGCTCCTGCTGCTGCTCCTGCTGCTAAGATTCCCGCTACACAGGCTTGCAGGCGGCAGAAGAAGCAGCGGAATGCCAGTAGCAGCAACTTGGGCGGTGCTGCTGCTGCTGCATCTGCTGCTGCTGATGGCGCTGCAGAGACTGCCGAGGCGCTGCTGACGCCGGCGGAGTGCCCCAGCGCAGCGCCTGCTGCTGCAGCAGCAGCAGCAGCAGCAGCAGGGAAAAAGAGAAAAGGCGCAACTGCAGCAGAAATTCGTGCTGCGCTGCTGCGCTGCGACGAGCCCCTGGGGCTGTACGGACGGCTGCTGGCAATGGAGCCTGTGACAGTGTCTGAAATAGAGCAGACTTTGAAGGGTGAGTTTATTTTTGGTTTTTAAATGTAATGTAAATTTAAAATTAATTTAAATATTTAAAAAGTATATCATTTAGTGCAACTCTTGTCCTTAGCAGCCACGCTGAACTCTGCTGCTCAGCAGCTGTGGGCGCGCTACGCAGCAGCCCGCGCTTCTCCGCCGCTCCTTGTGCGCCACTGCTGCTGCTGCTGCTGCTGCTGCTGTTTGCTGCAGCTGCGCATATCGTGGTGAGCCGCCAGGGCCTGCAGGACTTCCTCAGGAGAGCAGCAGTTATGGTTGCTAAGCCCTGGAAGCCGCAGCAGCGGGCTCGGCGGGGCCCCACAAAGGTGACCCTGGAGCCACTGGGCTCCCGCTGCAGCAGCAGCAGCAGCAGCAGCAGCAGCGTGGGAAGCAGCGGCCAGTAGCTAGCTGCGGCCGCATAGAGTCCTTCGGCAGCTATGCTCTGCAGCAAAGTTGCTTCAGAGCCGGAGCTTGTGGGGCCCCTGAGGAGCTGTAGATACACCTGAGACCCCACAGCTGCAGCGAACAGGGATGGCTTCATCTGGGATGCAGCAACATGCTGCAGCCGCGGCACTTGCTGCTGCTGCTGCAGCGGCGACTGCAACAGCAGTAGCTGCAGCAGCAGCAGTGTTCTAAAGTCTAGGCAACAAACGTAGCGGCGAAGCAGCGCAGCACCGGAGACAAAGGAAGCTCGTTGCTCTTTGCTAGCTGCAGCATTAGCTAGCTGCAGCATTAGCTAGCTGCAGAATTAGCTAGCTGCGGAATCAGCGAGCTGCAGTATTAGCTGGCTGCAGTATTAGCTAGCTGCAGTGTTGGCTAGCTGCAGCATTCGCTAGCTGCAGAATTAGCTAGCTGCAGAACTAGCTAGCTGCAGAATTAGCTAGCTGCAGAATTAGCTAGCTGCAGAATTAGCTAGCTGCAGCGATTTCGAATGACTCTTTTAAGCCTTAGGGATATCTCTACATTCGGCAGCGCCGCTGCAGCCACAGCCCTTGGGAGGGTTTAGGGTT